TATGTGTATTCTAAGGGGGATTCTAAGTGTGTAAAATACATGCAATGCTTACACACTGTGTTTCAGTATGTAAGGATTATGTTAATTTTATTAACAGTTAAATTTTAAGTTCCTTTCCTGTCAGATTCTTAACTTCAACTTACTACTTCCAGCCAGAACGTAGTTTTGGAATCTTGCTGAATATTTAATGAGGAGGAGCGGTATTTAAACCACGAAGTTACTTACTGAGTGAGAGAGAATCAGAGTTTCTGATTTACGCGAGTCTCCTTTTTGGCCACTCTCTCTCTCTCTCAAAGCTGTTATTACGCTCGGCCGTACTCAGGCCCTTGCTAAGCTTCGTAGTCAAATAAGTTAAGGGGCCAACTCGATTTGAACCTTGATAGCTTCGGCTATACTTCTTTAGTTAATCTTAGTTTTAGTTTAATTCTCAGTCTTTTAAGTTCAAGTCCAAGTGCGGGCTTTGCTTGTACACTCCCAGGCGGAGTTTGTTAAATCTTATTGGAATAATAAAGGGTTAGTTACCCTTCTATCTCGTTGTTTCTTGTCAGTTCTTAGATTATCAGTTCTTAGATTCTTCACTTCCAACATTAACTTAGAATTCCAAAGTGAGGAACTCTACAAGTATAAGGTGTATTTCAGCGAGATATGGGTAGATAATTAAAATATATGTTTAAAACTATTTTTTATTTTTTAAATCACTTATTAAGTTTTCGAGATATACGGTCATGAAGAAAATAAATTTCCACACCCAGCTTTAAATAGCAGCATTCCGTACGTTCGGTACCTAAAAAATTCGATTTTCGTACGTTTTTTCAAGATATGTTTTGATTAACTTAAAATGCAATTAATTTTTTTTATCTATTGTCATGTATAAGTTGTTGTACTATTTGTTCGTTAATATGAGAAAGTTGTTACAAAAATGCGCAGTATGGCTGATAATTTGATTTCAGTATTTCTCTTTCGCATTTTTTTGGGTCAAGACAATTTATCATGAGAGAATAACATGACTTACTTTTTGCTAATCTATCAATAGCTCGCTGAGCATAACCTAGTATTGAAATATAGATATACGGTTTATCTACCTACGTAAAAATCAACAACAATAACTATTTAAAGATCCCAGAAACTCATGTCAAAAGAAAACAAAAAGAACATGGATAATTATTAACAATATTTATTAATTCAAAATAGCTACAGATAAAGACAGATTTAGAATTTACTTTGTTGCCTTAACATCAGAGGGAAGACTGAGTTTGTGTGTCCGTAACCAAGGAATCATAATTAGGTGTATATCCTGACAAAGATAATAATAATGAGTCTTCAGTGAGGATAGAAAGTTGTTTAGTCTTCGTTAGTTTCAAGTATGAAAATGCCAATTCGCATAGGTATTGAGATCTGAAACAAGAATAGATATATTCGCTACATTTGTTGATACTGGGATATTTTTTTCGGTTGACATATTTCCAAAAATCTTCTTTAAGTTTTCGGGCTTGTAAGATTAAGTCAATTTGTAAAATTATAATTTCATTTTCTAATCCATTTTTTGATGCATATGTCTCAAATGTTTTAGCCAATGCGTTTCACACTTAAATCGTTTTTAAAGAAAAAAGAAATGAATTCCACAATTTCTTTAATTTTTTCAAAATCCTGGAATCTTATCTTAAAATCTTCAATTACTTTTTCGATTTCCGCGACATATTCGTCTATGTTATAATTAATACTTTTATGTTTTTGTAGGCTATCCTCCATATTTGGAAAATCATTCAGATTATTTTGTTACAGATTTTCTATTAGCAAAATAAATTTTTTATATGCGTCTATGAAGCTGATCATATCAATTACTGGTTTATTTTTACCTTGTAATTCTAAATTTAAATGACTTAATATTGAAGTAAAATCAGTAAGAAATGCTAAGTCACTAAGCCAAGTTTCATCATTTAAATTTTCACAGTTTCCATCTTATTCGTGAAGAAAATCTATAATTTCAGGCAATAAATCACGAAATCGCTGCAAACATTTACCTCTGCTTAGCCATCTGACATCGGTATGTAGTAATAACTCAGGCTAGCCTTCATTGAGCTGCAGTTGGAAGAGACGCCGTTTGAGGGAACTTCCTCAAACTGAATTAACAATTTTAAACGCTAAGTTCATTGCCTCTTTTGTGTTTAGTCTCTTGCTACCTGTTGCTGCAGGCAATTTTTCTCTTAAATATTTCATGTTTTAGAACATCAATAAAATTTTTATACAAAGCTGATGCTTTTTAGTTCAAAGCAACTACTAGCTAACACTTGCTGGTGCATTATGCAATGATAGCTTAGAAAGGCGGGAGATTCATCTTCCTTTCGACATAAGGCTATAAATCCGTGTATACTATCTTTCATTGTAACTGCGCCATCCGTTGTTATTGAGACTAATTTTAAGAATGGTTCTTTCAAATCATTGAGCAAGTTTATAAAGATTTGGAATATGTCCACACCTCTAATCCTTCAAAGAAATTCCTTTCCTTCAGAGAAACCATACCCAACAATTCTTCTTTAGATGTAAAATCCTTAAAAAACATACAAAAACAAGTAATTGTGCCGCACTACTTATATCTGTCGGTTCATCACACTGAAAGGAAAAACAAGAACAACTGTTAGTATCATTATATAACTGTTTTTTTACATTCCCATTCATTCTTTTAATTCGTCGCATCACTGTGTTTCAAGACAATTGTAGATCTTGACTTGCAGCAACAATTTCATTCTTGTTCTTAAAATCGTTAAAAAGTGAATCTGACATTTCTAAAAAAATTTCCTTTACAAATTCACCATCGGAAAATGGCTTATACTTTTTTTGTTAAGACATAACTTACTACTTGTGTAACTTACTACAAGTAGTTACTACTTGTGATTTTAACCTTGGCTTTTTAAAAACGCTTTGTTGATTTATTAATTGAGTTTTAAGATCCTTAACTTTATGTTTTCTCTGTTCAGAATTTGGTGGATAATCTGTTTGATACTTGTTACGTAAAGCTAAAAAATGTCTCTCCAGATTACCTTTTTCAGCAATGGCTACTGAGGTAAGTCATATTAAATAACAACATTGTAAAAAGGTAATCATTCAACATTGCAAAAAAATAATCGAGTTCCCATTCTTCATTGAAGTGATAAGTTTTCGGTTTCTTCGGTGTACTACTCATGTTCATGGGTGTACTACAGTGCAAAGAAATATGACAATTTCAAGAATAAATATTGAATTAAATATTTTTGTAGAAAATTCAAAACTCATGAACTGCGACTATTATCTCGGATACATTGAGAGAAATGATAACAATACCGCATACTACGATCGGATATAGCAATACAAGTGTATTGAAATCATTTGAATAGAATTATTGTTATCCGTAATATATTTGTAATACTTCCCCTTGTTTTTTTCTCAGTGTAATAACCGCAGTTTAGAGATCTGTTCCTGAGAATGCTCACTTATCAAGTAAATAGATATATAAGAAAAAAGCAATTTGATTTAAAACAAAGGAAAGGTACTTACATTTAAAAAAAAAAAAAAATTGAAATCCAAAGTGGTCACTGAGGATAAATAATATTGATTAATAATAATACTGTTAATACAAAAGAAAAAAATTACTGTATGACACTACCAAATATTCAAGCTAACTGACTGTGTTTTTCGACGAGTCGAGCCCTAACAGTTGCGTTCATGCATTGCATTGCGTCTGGTGTTAAGTGTAAAACATAAGTCAAAATGTATTCTGATGCATGACTAGAGATCACAGTTTCAGGCTATCAGTATTCTAGGAATTAATGACATCGGCAAATTCCCAGAATGCATTAAACACTCTCACGCGCTGGAGATAACAATTTTTTTTTTTTTTTTTCTGTACAACGTTGCCATTGCTCGCTTTGAAATCCTTGAGTTTGTTAATAAAAAATTCGTTTGCTTATCAACTAAATACTTTGGCATTTTTTTTAATAATATGGAATCCAATTCATAATAATAAAGTTGGCTTGCAACAAAATAATGTAAGTTTTTAACTGCATTTTCCAAAAATACATTCTGGGCTAAATACATAATTTTTTTCTACATTTTTCTCATACGTAATCAATATTTTTAGTCCAAAAGGGCGTCAACCCAGAAGGGCTATTCGTAGTCTCGAAACGGCAATTTGCATCGAATCACTATAAACGGCTATATCGCTTTTCAAATTGTTGCCACCAAATATTATCGTCCTGTATTTTATTTAAAGAAATTAAATAATAAAGAATCTGCATGAATGTATGTATATTTCCCGCATTGTGACAAAACAACGATACCTAGAGCCATAAAATTTTGAATAACGTAGTCCCCACCCGAATATGGGCACCTGGAAGCCAGAAACTTGAATTTCGAATTTGTTTTATTGTCTATTTCATGTTTTTAAACTTGAACGAATTATTGATTAAGAAACTCAAAGATTTCAAAATGAGCAGTGTCAACACACTGTGCGGAATGAAATATTTTTATTTCCAGCTTGTAAGATTGTCTATTGAAAATTCTAACGATATGCTGTTTTTAAATATTTTTAACCCAAATACTCTCGAAACGTGTATATATGTAAATGAAAAAAAAGTCCCTTTGGGCATAATATAAAAATATGAAAGGTTTCAGTTTTTTTTATTTCTTTATTATTATTTTTACTAAACACACTTAAGAATGTTATAAAGGAGCGTTCGAACCATATTAAAAGAAGATAAATTTTAAAAATACAGAAATCGATTTTTTTCCCCTTCTTAAACAGTGCTAAATCAAAACCATGTAAAAAGTAGCGGCATAAAAACAAAATGTGATGCAGTCCAAAACCTTTTGTCATCATTGTGTCTCTCTATCTTGATGATAAATTTATGATTGGGCAAAGAAGAAAAATGACTACATAAGTGATAGCTCTTTTTATCTACAGTTTTTTTTTTTTTTTTTTTTTTTTTTTTTTTTTTTTATCTCAGTAAAAAATTATTCTTTTCAACTAAATGATTTGAGCAATCTGACTGAATCTAGCAAGTCGCATTGTTTTGTTCACATATCTAAGGGGTGTTAAAAAAACTAGCAGAATGAGCAAACCAAAAGTACTCATTACGCGTTCTGACTTTCCTGAAACTGGGATTAAAAAATTACAGGAAAAGTAAGTGATAATAGTTTTTAGTATAATTTATTCATTTAACGAACAAAGAAATTTACATAACATTCGTTAGCCATACTAATTATTAAAATTTATGCTATTTTAATGTAAATCGAGACCTGATGTCGTAAAAATTTAGAGCAACTGAAATCGATTAATCAGTACTATATATATATGTGTGTGTGTGTATATGTATAAGATTGTTTATTGGTATTAGGTATGATGAGCGAATTTAGTGGAAAGGCCACCATTTATTTTTCAGTCTTGGTCAAAGAGGGGGAAGAATGTAGCTCTCACACGATAGAAGATAGCTTGAAACAGCTGCGTAGTAAACGGCTGGAGAGAAAATCAAGACTAGCTTCATGGCTAAAACATAATTTTTATTTTTGAACAGGAACAATTCTTTAGACACACATTTTTTCTTAATTCGTACAACACTAGGGGTGCTAAATTCGCCCCGCATTTTATATACGCAGTTACATTTTAAACATTAGGGGAATGCAAATAAGCGAAGAGACGTGTTTTATTCAAGGCTGAGCAACAGCAGAAGGGGATGCGTAGTTTGTTGCAGTAGCACTTATAAGCTTGGCTTCATTGTTTAAATCCTGAATGATGATTGGGCAATATACCTTTCGCAGTGCAGAATACTGCAAGTGTCAAGGCAGATTTAGATTGAAATTAGGAATTTGAAGGTCTGTATGCGAATAATTTAGTATTGTGTTAGTGATTGTCTTTCATATTTTATATTTCACATAATCTTCCCCATTAAGGAGAAAAGGACTTGGCGTGAGGCCTTTTCAGGAAAAAGCATTACAGTATTAGCAAAGAAAGGGAAATTTTGTACAATATTTACAATTTCAATGAGAAAAATAAATGTTTTCAAGGATGTAGCCTTTTAGGTTTCATTATGCTTTGTCATCATTGATTGGTGAACGTTCTCATATCTGAATATATAAAAAGATATAAAAATATAGTTTAGAATTATGATAGAAAAACTATTATATGACCTGTAAACTGAATTAGAGTTCAGTTCGAAAGTCTCTAGATTTGTAAAGTTGTATAGTTCTTGAAGCATTTTCTCCAAATAGCATAAAATGGTTCTAAATTTGGAGTACCAATTTTTCACGAAAGAGCTAAAAACGTTTATATATCTTGAAAGGTTTCTCGAAGATCACGTAAGAAATTTTATGGTTTTTTGTAAAAACTAAGTTTTGTCATCAATATAAAATCAAAATGTTTCTAATACATAGTTATAAAATTTTATTAAAATTAATTACTCATTGCGAAACAAAATCAGATGTTCTTACTTTACAGCAATGTAACAATTAATGCATAGAAATGAAAAAATGCAATGCAACATGATAACAAAATAAACTTTTATGAAAAATGGGCAGGCCCTCGACAAACGAATTAGCGTAACTACTTGCTGATGGCTGTGTGATGTTTAAATGCAATTACACAACCAGAAACCTCCTTTTCTTATGCAAAGTAACTGGCTTTTAGTATTTAATTTTATGGTCATAAAAATTCTTTCATACTACGCACTTAAAAAATAAATAAAATAAAATAAAATAAAATAAAATAAAAAAAATAATAAATATCTTGTAGGGATTTATATTTATTTTAACTAATAATTTAAAGTTTCATTTGAAACTTTCCTATAAGTCTTCATTTCCCTAATTGTCAGTGCCAGAATAGTTAAACGTTGTAGCGGCCGTGAATGAATGCAAATTTTCTGTTTTGAAGGAAGTAGTTAAAAGCCGAGTTTCGTTAGGGGAAAGGGAGAGTTAGACTCTAGCTGCCCTCTCTGCTGTAGGTACGTTTGCTCATTGGTGATGCAAGTGGCTTAATATCATTGCTTTGCTGTCACTAGCTTAGAAGGGGGTTGAAGTTCGAGATCTCGCTGAGCCCTGTACACTAGTTTATTCACTTGTTAATGTTTCAACGTTTAGTTTAAATTATCTGACTTTCAGTTACCGCCCAAGTAGAGCGAAGTTTATTAGCGTCGAGTTGATGCATTGCAAATTTTAAAGAGTTAATAATGGGTACGTGAACCCTTCTCCTGTGTAGTTTCCTGCTACTCCAGTATACAGATAGAAATTAACCCACCTGGACTCTACAATCTAAAAATGAAGAAGTTGAATGAATGAAACACGAATAACTTGTATACACACGTTATTTCTTAGAAATTTAGTAAACAAAACTTCCCATCACACTACAATAATAATATTAATAATAATTTTTAGAAAAAAAATTAAATGTATGTAGTGTGTTGTGTGTGTTTGTAAGTGTGGATGTGTAGTAGCACTTTGTGCTGAAACTATGGCTAGAAGAATGTGACTGGGGAAAAATACTAATAATCAGTCAGTTCATGACCATAGCTAATTCTCCTAATAATGATAATAATAATAATAATAATAAAGAGGAGTACTCCTGGAGGGAAACGGGCATGTGCTATCAGAATGGTATTATTCTGACGTTGCTTTGTATCTTCCCTAAAGAGAAGATGCAGATATTCGTATTTCGTTTTAATCCATGATTTTAATCCTGAATGATGGTTGGGCAAGAACTTTCGCAATGCGGAATAATGCAAACATCAATGAAGATGTGAAGTGGTTTGCCTTTCAGAAATTTAAAGGTCTATATGCGAATTTACTTAGTAATTTTGTTAGTGATTGTCTTTCATATTTTACATACACACACACATATATATATATATATAGTTTCCGGCTTCTACTAAAGATTACTTGAAAATTGTATTTATAAATTTTTCCTCCTCATGTTATTATTTTAAAAGCCAACACAAATTTGAATTGAGTTTGCTACTTTTGAGACTCATTTATATGTGAAGGAGTTCCGTATTGGATTAAGTTACTTGTTGGATTCACAATATGCTGAATGAGGATTACAATGCAAGTATGAAAATAACATGCGAATATCAATTTGTAAATGTAAAAGATGGACTTTTGTTAGAAACAGATTTCAAATCTAAACGATTAGGCATTTCTCTGGAAGGAATTTCTCCCTTCTTACTATACGCTTACGCAGTTTAACTGAAAGCACGTCTCGCTAGTAAATCGGAAGGTCCGAAGTTCCAATCCCGGAACACTACAAATTTTTCATGTTTCCTGCCTTCACAAACATAATATATGACTCTGTATCTCTACTGAGCTTGCATTTTAAGTTTTTTTCTTCCTATTAACGCATGATCATACTCGTTTACAATAATCAAATTTTGGCTGCAGCGAGACATAAGTCAAGATGGTATTAATTTATAAATATTTCTAAGCAGAACACGAATATAGAAAACATCTCATCACGAATATAGTAAATATTTTTATGATGAAAATTTCGTTTAACGTGCGCTACTTTTTATAACCATTCATTAAGTGATTGCATAAATATAATCAATTAATGGATTGTTATAATGTGGCGCAGATTATGACTGTACTTACGCCGATAAAAAGAGTTAAATAATCTGAAACTAAAAATATAATTTTGAAATATATACAATTAAAAAAGGAGTATCTACAAGGAATGTAGTTTATACCCCCGTGGCAGTCTCGGCCACGGGGGTATAAAATTTATGAACTTGGTGGTTCTGAAGGCTCTGGGAAAGGTCACTTATTGGCCGGCCTCGGAGTCTGGCACGTCCTAGCGCGGCGTGGTGCTAGTAACCCGTGGGGTTTTCCCCCGGGGTCGCTGGGTAATGTCCCGCTGCGACGGGCTCGCCCGAGCGACTGGCAGGAGCAATTGACGACCGGTGCTGCCTGGTGACGTATCCAGGTGGTGCGCGGCTCTGCTGGAGGGTAATAGTGGAGGTTGAACCTCCACGACGTGCCCGAAGGCAGAGTCGAGCTGTAGTGAGATTTAGTTACTCGGAACAGGGAAGCCGAAACCCATAGTTACGACTGATTAACATTTGGAAACAATACTGTTGCGAGCTACAGTTCGAAGTTCATCTCCTTAATAACTAAATCACATAAGCAAGAAGAAATCGGCAATTTTTTTGTAATAAATACTGCACGGAGTGTAATAAACAACTCTAAATAATCCAAAGAGAACGCAGAAGATAACTCAAATTCTCCTTAATACACGAAGAATATCGCAGATTACTGATACTCACAGAGTAAACTCTAAAATACAATTATTGATGATTCAGTCAACTCTTTGAACTGAAATTAAATGTCTTTGAGTTAACAGATTCACTAGGTGTGGAAGCTTTATATCTATAGAGTTTTTTGGTTTCTTGAAACTCTGGAGAAACCATTTTTGTGGTTTCAAAAATACGTTCTCTGGAATTTTCCAAAACGTCACCAAACTAGTCACAAAAATTATCCTAAAGGTTATCAGGAGACTTTCTGCTTATATCTCGACTTGCAGTTCGGCTGTTTTCAAAAACTAAACGCTGATCAATTGACAGTCAGATGATTTACAATTTTACAGAAGCCATGACAACCACAAACACCATACGTGGCCACAAATATCCATTAAACTAAAATACAAAATAGAACTATTATATAAAATGCAGCAAATAAATAAATATAAATGATATAAATGACATTATGCTAATACACAAAACCAAAAATACTGTCAAATATTTAGAAATGTCTTCAATAATATGTATTACATAATACTGTTAATATTCCATGTATCCAATTCTGTCTCATATTGTGTGCTATCCATGCCTTGACACTGAATTTAATAGAACTTTGCGGCATAGCCAGCCAAACGGCATTAATTCGCGTCTAAAGTTCATCCAAATTTGAGGAAGCACAGTCATAACGCATGGCATTTTATTCGACCACATCCTACAAATATTTGTTGGGAGAAATCTATGCCGTTTAGGAAGAAATGAGACGTCGCTATAATGAGCTGTAATTTTGAACACTCGCATTGTTGCCGCAGTATAACGAATGGTACTAATATGATGGAAAATTATTGCGAGAAGCCATTTCATATGCGGAAATTCAACTGATCGTAAAATGTCATTGCCGTATCGG